ACAAACCAACATATGCACAGACATTTATCTCCTCTACCGTCAGCCAATGGCTTATGCCACCCTACTTTTGTCATCACCTGTTGTCTCTCCATGCAGACGGCAACTCTTGGGGCAGAGATCTTTTTATCATTATACCTGTGTACCTAGCACAAAGGGGCCTTCAGCCCTGATGGCGGACAGTCACAAAACAAATAATGATTTTTCAAAGTATTCTATAGTTCAGTGTGACTTAAATATAGTGGGCCAAATGTATCCCTGGTGCAACCTCACTGACTGGATGAATTTTACTGAGTTTATTTTTAAAACTTGCTGTTTATCACTAAATATGGAGTACAAAAAATAATGATTTTGCACACTAAAAGCCACTGACAGCACACTGAAGAGCAGTAAACCCACAACACTGTGTATATGTGCGTGCTGGCGATATATAATCACTGCTTTAGGCCAATCAAAAGTCCAGTCATGAAGTCACTTATAAAATACATTACTTTTCCCATACCAAATGTATTCCACGTGAAAAAAAATTCCTTGTAAAGACTATCAGATTCTGAATGCTTCATGTCCAGGGCTGCTCTAAGTTACTCAGGCTAGAACAACTTCCCTAAGAATCATCCCCTGGGTGAGGGTCAGTGAAACATATCATGCTCCAATTCTGCCTCCTCAAGTTCTTCCCATCTCAGAAGAACATCCTTTTCCTGTGTCTTCTGGCCGCAACGAGCTCCTTAGGGGTGAGTGGGGGAAGCAGGCAGTGTAAAGCTGCCTATAAGGACTCCTTACACCATGGCAATACTCAGCTGCCTCTTTAGGGCAGCTTTAAAGTCACTTTGTCACCTTTGCTCCAGGAACATAAAATGACCTTATGGGGCATTGAGAATCAGGTCTCTAGGTTTGAGTTGACTTCAGTAATAATGTCTTTTAAAAAAGGTGGTGACTTCATCGTCTGAGGTGGAAGGTTTCAGAACAGGAAGTTGCAGGCCTTATTGTAACCTTAAAAAGAAAAAAAAAGGGGGGGGGGGTTGGGTGTCCTATGTTATATGAAATTTTGCTGGATAAAATGTAGCGAACAGGGCAGCAGTTTAGGTAAAATTGCCTTTGAAAGAATTAAATCTGTCTGCTGGATCGGGTCTCGGGGCAACCTCAAGGACTATTAGAATGTGACAACTTGTATACATGACATTTGCAAATGTGAATATTGTTGAAAGTGAGTAACAGTGCCCTGGGGTGTAATGGCTCTCTGTCAGTGCGGTGATGGATTGAGATGATCTTAAATTTCTATTGTTTCTTACTGAATCTGGCAGGGATTGATTGAATACTGTATCTAAGCAACAAGATGGATGGAGAAAGAATACTGAAGGACTGTAACACTGAGCTTTATTCAAGGTGTAGCTTTACTTAATGTGTTTATCATTTGTGTTCTAAGGTCTTTCCTAATGACTAAGAAACAGACATCAATTGTACCGCTTCAAATAATAATTAATTCCACCAGAGTTAAAGTATCTTTATGCCTTTGGTTGGAACATATTGCAAGTGCATGATTATTCAGTGCATGAGTATTCAGTGCATGCTCATTCGTTGTTTATATAGTAATACTGGTTTGCATGGTTCTATACAAATAAGTAGGAAAACATGATGGGGCCATATTGTGTTCTCAGGTACAACCCCATTGAAATCGGTGGAACTGGACCAGTGCAAATGACTGAAATTTCAATTGATCCCTGCCTCAAGAAGCTAACAGTCCACGGTCCTATTCCTGCAGACACAGATGAGTTTTACTTTTCGCCTGTGAGTAGGGTTGTCAACATTGTATTTCAAAAATAAAGGACTGTTTTCTTAGCACCCCCTGCCCATCCATCCTCCCAATATTACCATCATCACCTACAATAATAATTAATAAGCAGTACTCACCTACATTCGCCGGGGTATTTCTTGCTGCTTTTTGCAGCACTCAGCAACTCCCAATCTTGTTGTACAGAGATAAAAAAATAAGGGATGTCCCTTGCAATAAAGGACTGGGGGAAAAACTCCATCCGTGAGTAGCCCTGTTGAAGTCAATGGGACTATTTACAGGTGTGAAGATAAGCACTTTCATAAGAGTTTGCAGGATCAGGGCCCTAATTAGACCAATAACATGACTATAGATTCTGGAGGAACAAGGAGTGGGAACTTAGACTTAAATTAAGAGTTGCTCTAAGGAGAATAACATGCAAAAGGGCTCAGATCTTACAGACTGGGATTTTCAAAGGTGCCTAAGGGAGCAAGTTGCCAAAGTCTATAGGAATTTACAAACCCAGAAGAGCCTAGGTCCCTTAGATGCTTTTGAAAATCCTAGCCCTGGTGAATAGCTGTCTTGTGGTCTGCATAAAACAATCCTCTCACATACACACCCTCAAATCCTCCCTCCTCTCCCTAGCAAAAACAAAGCCCTTTTGTGAGATTTCTGGTAGAAAACCTTCTCTAAGCTTCTGTTAAAACGTTTGGTCTTAGGGCAAGTCTACACTACCGCAATGCACAGCTGTGGTGTGTCTGGCGAAGAAACACTACGTCGAAAGGAGAGCGTTCTCCCATTGGCATAATTATTCCACCTCAGCGAGAGGGAGAAGCTATGTGAGCTGGAGACTCTCCTGCCAACATAGCACAGTGTGGACAGCATTTAGGTCGATGTAACTTGCGTCTCTCGGGGGTGGCTTTTTTCACACCCCTGAGCGCCGTAAGGTACATTGACTTAAGCGGTAGTGTAGACAAGCCTTCAGTCTCACAGTTGGGAGATGCATATGGCGCACTTCTTTCTCTAGGCACATCCTGGGCTCATCTCTTTTTTGGGGACCCCAGTGTTTATTGTGTCAGTCTGCTTCCACAGAAGCCCTCTAAGGGATAGCTCCATCAGACAGCTCTGGCCCTTTGTTAAAAAACCTTATCACAGTTCAGTGATTTAAAAAAAAACCCAGACCTGATCTTTAAAGATCAATATCTCTGTATTTATTTTAATGTCCCTCCCCCAGGAGCATGGGGTTATTGCTGGGGACTGGTTGATCACTTGATTAATGTAGGTTTCAGAGTAACAGCCGTGTTAGTCTGTATTCGCAAAAAGAAAAGGAGGACTTGTGGCACCTTAGAGACTAACCAATTTATTTGAGCATGAGCTTCCGTGAGCTACAGCTCACTTCCTCTAAGGTGCCACAAGTACTCCTTTTCTTTTTGATTAATGTATTTATTAACTTAGCTATTTTAATTTTATATCAAGGGAATCAGCCAATTTGAAAACAGGTAAATAAATACTTACAAAATATTTTGCTTCCTGATTAAACCTCATATGTCAACCTCAGACTTGAGCAAAACTAGTAGCAAATTAAACCCTAGAAAACGTGGCTCAGGCTTCTCTAACATAAGCCTGTTGACTCAGTGGAAGGATGAATCAGTCCATTAAGTTGAGCAATGGCGAAATTATAAGGGCAGTGTCACAAATGAGGAGGGCAGAATCCACACTTAAGAAATAAGCGGCAGTAGCAAGTGTCTCCTCCTGTTCTCCCAGGCATGCATGGCATCAGGTTGTTTATAAGCAGCATCAGCAGGGAACCTTAGCAGACACATTCACAACTGTCCCCAAGTTTTCTCTCATGCCTTCTAGTTCAAAGGGCTCATCTTGTTCCTTAGAATAAAGAATTTTGCAACAAGTGCTGATACTTACCACATCAAAGTACAATGGAGTTTGCATTGTTTGTAGAACGTTAGGCCATAGACAAATTAAAGAGACATGTGGAGTTTCAAAATTTACTTTAGCAAGCCAGTGCTTGCATGCTTAGTACTCAGGGAGGGTTAGATACTACAGTGATAGGTACTACAAAATCCTCTGTAGAGATTTAGAGCCTAAGCTAAAGCAAACTGAAGTAAGCGTAAAAGTCTCCCATTGACTTCACTAGGCTTTGGATTAGCAATTAAAACTTGTTGGCTCCTTTATAAATATATTCATACTGTACTTTTATGAGTCCAGGAGGAAAAAGTCATTGATTTAATTCAAATGTTTATTGCAAAATATAGTCCAACATCATAACCTTTTGGATACCATCAGAATATATACAGCAAACAAATTGAGTTGAAGCAATAATACAACTTGCTTAATAATCAATATGCAGAGAAGATGCCAAATTCTTCTTTACTGATTTTTTTTTCAATTGGTGCGCTATAAATTGTGTTATTTCATCCGATACAGATACATAAAACTGTCTGGGTTTTTTTTCTATATATATAGATAGCATGAAATCTGTACATATTGTCCGTAAAGCTAGGAAAGCACTTGAGGTGAAAAACGTTGTAGTTGTCCCAATATAAACCATGATGTTGTGAAGACCCTTTTTACATCAGAAAGTGCATAAGTATTACATTAAAAATATTTACAAGCAACACGTGCATCAACCACCACTGGTTCATATTCTGCTTTTAGGCTTGTGCGGCATCACTGAAGTCAACAGGGAAGCACCTAGGTACTTGAGACCAGATTTCAGCCTGGAATAGCAGATTCTGATCTCTGTTACACTGATGCCTGGAGTTAGTCCTTCAGTGGATTTACTCCAGATTGACAGTGGTGTAAATGACATCTGAATCAGGCCCACAGACTATCATCTGACATCACCAAAAAATGAAACTACTTCTTCACCCAGATACACAGACACAGTGACTATGAGGAAGAAGCGAGTTAAAAGGAAATATAAACACCAGGAAAGTAGGCAGGAAGGCCCTAGGTCCACCAGGGCCCATGGCCTACTCTGTGTAATCACACAACATGGGTTGTGGGGAGTACACCCACCTGACCCTGCCTGGACAATCACCACTTAATGCTTCAAGAAGAAGATTAGGCCCTCCCCCCCCCGCCCCGCACCATGTCCCTTAGGATCCTAGGGAAATTTCTTCCCAATCTCAAATTTGGTGATAGGATGGCAACCGCGGGTAATTGGAAAGGCAGCTCTTTGTCATGAGTCCACTTCTTAACAGCAGCGAGTTGCCGATTATCTCTTGTGCCCCCGGTTCCGGCGCCTGGGGGTGCTGGGGGAAGAGCCGTCTCTTCTGGAGCAGTAATGCTTGGTAACCACCTGCTTGCACTGCTGGCATCTCACCACGCAGCACCAGTGGAACTTGCAGTTGCAGCTGGTGACGATTTCAGTCCTCTTCTCTTCCACTTTCAGGCCGCACTCCGTGCAGAGCCTCCTGCAGCTCCTCCTCTCCCACTGAGACAAGTTCTTGCCACTCTGCAGGCATTCCCGCCCCTCAGTGCCATGGAGGCCCAGGCTGGCATTCCTGACGCAGTAATCGGGAGAGTCTTCCAGGAAGACAAGTTCCGTGGCTAGCACCATGCTGAAGGTCTCTGCGGTGGCCCCACGGCTGTCGGCACTATTCCCAGCTCTCATCCTCTTCTTGTCCATCTCCAGCTTCTGGGCCTGGTCATATTTGATCTTCAGATAATTCCCAATTTCTCGAAACTCAGCAAGCTGGAGCCAGCAGGTCTGGATGCTGCAGCTGCCCGATACCCCGTGACACTTACACGTCCTCTTCATTGTTGCTTTCACAGACTGGGATGAAAAGGCACAGCAGTTAGGAGCAGCAGAAAACCACAGCACAAACGGGGTCTGTTGCAATAAAACTTCAGATAGTGGCATAAGGGGTTGCTCATTTCTCAGTCATCAGTTCTAATCCAGCTCACACTGTTTGGGGCTGAAAGTCATTACTGTGTACTGGCCCGTGTGAAATGAACTGGTGCTCTCAGTTCAGTTCCTGATGGACATATGTTCCATCGCTAACTGGGAGCTGGCAGAGATGTGCATGAGCTACTTTACCCCCACAAGTGGAGTCTCTTCAGGCTGCTTGTGAAGCACATTGGCAAGGTAATGCTATTGCCTGGGCTGTCCCAGGACTGTGGATAACTTCCATGTGCGGAGCTGTTAAACCAGCACCGTTCACGCAGACGATACACAATAATCTTAGATACAGAATGACAGTACTAAGTATTCATGCAGCACCTTTAATCCAAGCACTTCACCAATACCATCTACGAATCCCTCTCTATGATAATTATAGGGGGCCAATACTGTAGTATCTATGTCAGATTGTTAGGCTTTGATATATCTAAATCGCCTGGCTCCTGCTACCCTGCTCTAACCAACAGACAACATTTCCTCCCCTAAAGAAGGCCCTGAGCTGCACATTACAGGAGATGAAAATAAGGTTTGCTCTATTTTACTGTCTGATCAAGTGGTTACCAGCTACAGGACTGCAAAGGCTAGGTTTTGCAATTCTTGAGAAATGGTGCATGTTACTATACTGGCTGTTTGCTTTGCTTTGAACCAAAGTGCAAGTGAAGCCTACTGCAATCATTTTCTGATGTCCAGGTTTTGGGGCCTGATTCCAAAAGCCTTACTCCATATGCACGTGCAGTATTACTTATTCATGCAAGCAGTCTTACTGAAGTCAATGGGACAACTCAGGGTTGGAGAATGGGACCTTAAAGCTTTGTAGATGTGCTGATTATGAAGATATTTTGGATACAGACAACCCCCTTTTTTTTTCTTTTTTTTTACTTACAAGTCTCCCTGCTTCATTGTTATGCAGATTCATTAAAGCTCTGGCATCTTGTCCTGTCTCCAAAGCATCCACAAATAGTTTGGAAATTCTCTCGCCAAATTCCACATTATCACTGCAGCCTCCCCAGACCCATCCTCGGCCACCTAGGAAAGGACGCATTGTTCACAAATAATAACTATGTGCAGAAGCTCAGGGTGTGGGTCGATTTCAGTACAATGTGTAAACCCAGAGCTCTAGGAAACATGTTGGAGGAGCCAATCCTGCATTGGCAGGGAGTTAGCTGGATGAGAAGAACCACAGAATCATTTCAATGTGTAATTCTTATGAATGTTAAATGCAGGAACAGTCCTTTGAGCCAATTTCTCACTCTGTTACAAGGAAGTCAATGGGGCTGCACAGTTGAAACAGAGTTGAATGTAGCCCTACATGTTTTCAAGTCTGAAAATTGTGATGCCATCAACGCAAAAGCAGACCAGTCTACTAGACCAGTAAAATCACAGCTCACCTACACGGCCATTCCTGGAATCGTCACAGCCACAGTTGTCGAAGTCCCCCATGCTGCAGTTTCTGGTGAGCGTGTACATTACTCCAGCCGAGCTGATGGCATGAACAAAAGAGGTTTCTCTGGTAGCTGGAAAGAGACGAAAAAAGACGCTGTCACCCTCAAGAACAGAAACCCTCAGTCCCATTTTACTGGTAAGAAGGCCCCCTCGTGGAGCTTCCAACAGAGCAATCGCTGAGTGTGTGTGTATGGGCTAGTAGGGGGGGTCCCATTTTACTGGTAAGAAGGCCCCCTCGTGGAGCTTCCAACAGAGCAATCGCTGAGTGTGTGTGTATGGGCTGGGGGGGGAAGGGAAAGTCTTTGCATAAGGCAATTAGGACAAAAGATAGAGGAATTAAACCCTCCATAGAACATGGCAAAGTGCTTGTGAATTCTGTCTTCTGCCAGCTTTGTTTCAGTTTCAACAACAGTTACTGGCATGACAAGGTGTCACCTTGTGTGTATCTATGTATGGAAAAGAGTTTCATGGGGACAATGAGATTTAATATAACAGGCCTGATCCTAACCCCACCAAGATCAATTATCACTGACTTCTCTTGATACCCAATCAGGGTTACTCTCTAGCAGCTTTCTGTCCCTGTCATTTTCTGTTTTGGTGGCAGGCTCCAGCCTGGTCTTCTCTACACAGTAAAGTTGCATCAGTTCAACTTAAATCAGTTTTTAAACTCATGCAAACTCCTCTCTGGACACACTTTTTAATTTCACTTTAAGAGGTTTCATTTCAGCTTAAACCTGCTCTCACTATATAAGCTAAACTGCAAGAAGCCACTCTTAAGCCGAAGTAAGAGTGAGTGTGTGTGTTCATTGGTTGAACTAATTTGGGTTTAAAGTCGCCCCTGAGGTTAAACTGGTGCAATTTTCTCATGTAGACAAGCAAGCCCTTAGTGTGAGGCTGTGTCTGCAGTCTACCTGTCTGTCTCCCTCCTGCCCCGCTCCAAAATTTGCTGTCATTCTAATATATGTATCTATATAGTCTAGACCCTACCTAAATATAAACTGGCTGTATCCTGTACACAGAGATGGCAGGAGGGAAAGAAGGAGTTCTAGGTAAATCCATGCTCTGCCTCTAAATGCACACTTACCACTCCGCAGTCTGTTATGAGTCGAGAGCTGCAGGGCACTTTCTGGGCAGTTCCAGCGCTCCCAGGTGAACTGATGTTTACATTCTTCAATCCCGCTGTGGGCCCCCACAGCCACGCTGGTGGAGTAGGTCAGATACGCCTTGCATAGAAAAAGAATGGGTCTTAAACTCCCAAACCTTTCAAAAGGCCACTTGAAAGCAAATTCAAATGGGTTTCAACTGTTTCCCCTCATTACACAGAGGGAGCTGGTGCCCATATGCAGATCAGTAAATGTGGTTCCTTAGAAAGGCAACATTTGGTTTGCTAACAGGAAAAAAATCTATAATTAAATTCATAATAATCCATGTATAAATTACCTTTGGTCCCGTCATCAGAAAGTTGTTTACAGACCTGTAACAAATAAAACAGGATAAGTGAGGTAAATATAGACTCAGAAGCATCACCAAAAAGTCCTCGTTCAGCTGGGCTGAGACCCTACCATGCTGACGTGTGGAAAGTGGCACAATAGATCCCAATGCTGGTGAAGATGATAAAGGTGTGGCTCTTCATGGCTGTCAGATAGGGTGAAGTTTTATTCCACTAGCTGATCTAAAGCTCTCCACACCGGAGATGGTTGAATGAGCAGCGCAGCTCTGCTTCTCTCCACATCCAAAGGGGGGATACTCAGGACAAGGAAAGTTACAAGAATCCAAATCTCAGATATTTATAAGGTGAAGTTCTGAAAGGCCAATACCCCCTATTCATTTGCTACCCAATGACCCTATGTGGTAAAGGAGCCTCTGATCCAATGGGTGACAAGATAGCAAAGGAAACGCCTAAAGCTGCACTTCAAAAGACAAGGAGCAGTTGTCACCCAGAGCCTGTGATGATTCTCAAGGAGAGTAAACTTCCCTAACAATGGGCAACCTTTAATTCTATTAAGCACACCAGCATTCATTTCTCGCTGTCTCTCTCTAGCTTAGGTCCACTTGCCTTCTTCATGATACTTTGCCTCTGCACAGAGGCTCACTTCCCTGTCTCCTCTCAAATAACAAACTGCCATATTTCTACAGTTCCCCCACTATCTTAGTGCTCCTTGTTATGAGAATTTCCTGAAGTATTCAGTGACAGTTTTATAAAGATCTGTTGGGGCCGGATCTCCAGGATTTGAAGGGATTTATTTAAATGCAGACTCCCCCTACCCCCCACACACTTTCATCGATTAAAGAGTTTGTGTTCCAAAGGGCAACCAGATGCTGCAAAAATGGCATTTCATCCCTGCAGGATGTTTGGAAATCTTACTAATTTACATTGCTGTAGCCTGAGAGCCCTGTGCAAAAAGTCTGCAAGAGGTTTGCTCCTTGCCTATATCCCCATATGCGAGACACTTTTCTTTTTAATAGTGAGGACAGTTTTCAGGGGGAAGCAAGTTCTGCACAGTAAAGTTCACCACAGCAAAAGCATGATCACGTACTGACTTCAGATGTGTGAGCCTCACAGGTATCCATCAGCACATGTGAGTTTCTTCTCACATACATGGGTGTAAGTGGGGAGTAATTCACTGACGTTAAAGGAGTTACACCAGTATACAACCAATATTTGGGAGAGGAGAATCAGTCCCAAGGATCCGGTCCTGGATATAGGTATGGGCAGTATTATTAAGGGCATCAAAAACCAATAGTGCCAAGGCTGGAGTGATGTCTATTGATGACAGCAGGCCTTTGTTAATAGGTACTCTGGCGTTCTATTCCTGGGTCTGTCACTGAATTACTGTGTATCTATGGGCAAGTGATTTAGCCTCTCACTCTTCCTTAGTGTTCCCCATGTATAAAATGGAGATTATGATGATTAGCTACCTCTCAGACATTTGTTGGGTTAATAACTAAATATGTGCCAAGTGCTTGGTGGTCTTCAAAAGAAAGGCACCATAGAATTGCAATGGATTAGTTAGGCTGCCTTATATCTATGAAACGCTTAGCAAAAATATACCCAATTCCATCTCACTGTGTCTGTAAGTGTCACGCACCCACAAATACACATATGGGTCAGCTCTCGGCTCCTTTGGAAAGCAGAAGGAAAAGCTCATTTCTACAAAGCTTGGTACCAGCTTTATTAGCAAGCAACAGAAGAAACTTATCACCCTAGATCATGTGTAAGGGAGACCTGGAGCCAGTGTAGCAAAGCTGCAAACAGCAATTTTGCAATTTGAGGATTAAAACTGTAGGTTGGTGAGAACGTAATGAATGCAAAATAAAAATACCTCTTCATGAGCACAGAGCGTTCACAGCCCTAGTGTACTCGTGTGGGGATGACAAAACTGGGCCTGAGTCAGCATCTTAACTATTAACATTCTGAAATGACATCTTCCTTGTACAGAGCTACAAAAGGACAATGTATTAAGACTAAAGTGTTGCCAGTGTATTTAGAGAAGCTCAGTCATTTAAACCCAGGTATAAAAGCTTGGATTATATGATGCATTTTTATATACAGCTGCCTTTTCTTGGTTTTAGTGCAGCTATCTATGCAGGCATGTTAGTGTTCATTATCTGAGAGAGATTGTGCAACTCAAAGATTTTGGAGCATCAGTTAACTCAGTTCATACTTGATCCTCCTAACTATGTGATAGAAAAATAGCTTTTAGGGGTGTGGCACTCTTCTGGGGGAGATTGTGTTGTTTGTAGGGTCTTTGTCAGGTTAAAAATCCTGCATTCAAACCACACATTTCCTTGCCTGCCTGGGATATTAATAATACCGTCTACTCTTTAAAACACATGGATCTTAATTCCCTGTAACTTTTTATCAGCTATGCTGGTTGTTGACAAACAAGAGAACATGTTCTTACAAGCCTGCCAGCGCCAATTAATTATTCTCCATTTACAGCAGCATAGCTGAAAGCAGAACCTGCCCCAGTGTGTGATCACAAGCCGTTCAGGGCAAGAATAAGACTATGAAGCCACAAATGGGTAGAACTGAAATATTCACATTTTTTGTAGAACTCTCCCCCCACCCTACCTCCATTGTAAAAGTGAACAGAGTTCGATTCACATGACAGGCATATTAAGTAAAGCGAGATTTCCCCAGATATTTATAGTAACAATAATACTTTGCACTTCTCAAGCTTTTCATCTATGGATCTTAAAGCAAAGGAGGGTAACTAGAATTATTTCCATTTTACAGGTGGGGAAACCAAGGCAGGGAGCAGTGGAATGACTTGCAGAAGGTCACACAATGAATCAGTGGCATCGCTCCACTGGACAGAGGTATTTTGAAACTAAGCTTAGTGCTCTAATCACTAAATCCCTAGGTCTCATGCATGGGTGAAGTTCACTAACACCTGTGTGAACACTGACCATTTTGCTTTGCAGGGACTGTTTCATGGATTTTGATCTGCCTGGTTTTAGCATCACCCAGAAATCTGCTTTGAGTTTTCGCTTCAGATAAACCTAAAATCTCAAAGCAAAAGTCGAATGAAGTATTGTTGTAGCTGTCTTGGTACCAGGATATTAGAGAGACAAGGTGCTCCAATAAAAGGTACTACCTCACCCACTTAGTCTCTCAAAGCAAAACTCGGTTACTTTCCCCTTGTTATACATCAAAACCCATTTTCACTTGAAGAGGTTGGCTGAACCTTTTGACATGCCCAGTCTGAGCAGCGCATACAGCGACAAGCAACTGATTGGGTGCAGCCAAATGTTCAGTGTCTAATGTTGTTTGGGTGATTGTGGGTTGATAAACTGGCAAACGTCCGTCCATTATGTTGGGCAGCAGGACTCCGAGAACCAGTCTTGAGTCTCAGTTTCAAGTTTGCAATGAAACCAAGTAAGTTTCATATTGATTTCAGGTATCACTGGAAACAATTGATCCAGAGAACACTGGTTTGGTAGATATTGTCGAGTTTCAGCTGAATTCTGTTGACGTTACTGATAAAATGTTAAGATGGTGTTTCTGTTTTTTTTTTTACTGTTTTGGTTTGTTAATCCACTCATGGTCTGGGCTTTTCACAGCCCTTGGCACAGGAGGTAATCAATGCAATGAAGTATATGGATACGTTCCCTCCAGCTGTGACATTCATTAAACATGCAGCCTGTACTTACTCCTGTGTGCCCTATCGACTTTAGTGTGTGCTTTGTCACCCAGATCTGCCTTCCTTCATGGGTGCATTTTGTAAACTTGCATTTCATTGCAATTTTTTGTCTTTCACCGGGAAACTAAAGGCCACATTTCAGAAATCTGATAGGCAGAATCCTGTGCAAACATGAAAGGGTTGTTTGTATGAGGTCCCCACGTTGAGATAGACACACTTCTATTGAGGACGCACTGATGTTTGGGTTGGGATCTGGGTTCAGAGCTGCTGAGTCACAGCTGGCAAGTAAACTCTGCATCTTGTACTGGATCAGCATCTTGAGCATTTGGGCTTTCACATGTGTGAGAGCAGAATTTGGAGCCCTATGGTTAAGTAAAGAAAAAGGAGAATTGGAGCCATTATGTGGCATGGTGTAACTGTCAGATTAACCCAATTTTGTTTCCTCTTTGAGCAATAATTTTACAAACTCTATATTAAGTGTGTAAAAATGCATGGAGGGAGTGGAAGGGGAGTGCAGCGGGATGGGGGAGAGGAGGAAAAGGTGGCGGAGGTCTTTGAAGAGATGGGCCTGAACCAAAATCAAGACCCAAACACGCCTGCAATCAGAGGTATTCAAAATCTGAATCCCAATGAAGGTTGCAGATAGCTCCTCTCTTTACAATGGGCTGTAGAAAAGAGCCTTGTTCTGGATTCTAGTGTGTAGGAAATCTGGATCCATCTACATATGCTGTGACTTGAACCTATCTCTAAGTGAGGATAATTCTTAGCAGGGAGATAACCGTAACTTCAGGCTCAGCTGAAAGGGCTGTATGGACTGGAACAATAGTGTTTTTCTCTGAAATATTAAAGAAGATGTTTCTGTTCATATTAGGATTTTTAACTCATGTTTCCAAAAGCCTACTTGTTGGTCCTGAATTATGCTGACCATGTACTTTAACTGGAGGCTGATGGCACAGTAATTTCTGGGGTGGGGTGAACTGGACGTGTTTTAGTCAGATAGTGGACAGTGTGGAGAATTCACCCAGCACTAGAGACTGGGAGAAGGCTAATGCTCTGTTAATATTTATATTGCAGTAGCACGTGGAGGTCCCAGCCAAGACAAGAGTCCCTTTATGATAATTGCTTAACGACGCACAGTCCCTGCCCTGAAGAGTTTACAAACTGAATAGACAAGACAAACTATAGGCTGGGAGAAAGTCACACAGCTGGGGGTAGAATCCAGGTCTCTAGACCCAGATCACTGGAGCCATTAGCCCCTGAGGAACACCCATGAAACATGTGGCAGAAGCAATGCAAGCCCTGGAACCACCACCATGGCCTCAGAGCAATCTGGCTGGCTGTGTCTCCAGGCCGACTAGAAAATCCAATATCTTTGTTTCAGCACTGGTGCAGCCTACAAGCACTTGTGTGGTCAGGCCTCTAGCATTTCCAGCGATGTATCCAAAAAACCAACCCAGCCCATGCACCTGGGTGGTAGGAAAGCTCG